GCAGGCTGACGAGGAGCAGCAGGCTGACGAGGAGCAGCAGGCTGACGAGGAGCAGCAGCAGCAGCAGGCTGACGAGGAGCAGCAGCAGCAGCAGGCTGACGAGGAGCAGCAAATAGAGGAGCAGCAGCAGCACGCTGACGATCAGCAGGGGGAGGAGGCACTGGGGCACGGGGAGCAGGAGGGCGAGGTAGAGGGAGGTCAGTGCTGCCCGGAGGTGCGGTCATTTTATGGTGCCAGTCTCCCGCTGCACCTGCTCGGTAGTGGGCAAGCACATCCCGGGCGTGTATGGGATCCGCTCGGCTATCGTGCTCCGCGAGGCAGAGGGTGCCTTCCTTCCACAGGAGGCAGAGGTCGCGCTCGTGCCGCACGAGGGACAGGTCGCCCGAGAGGGCGGCCACAGAAGGACAAGCAGTCAATGCCTGATCCTGCAGCCTCCACCTCTGATGACGACTCCCATGAGAGTGCCCCCCTGCACAAAACGAAAAAGAGGAGGATAGCGCCCGATGAAGGCAGAGAGACACAGTGAGAGAGAGAGAGAGAGGGACGTTTTGTTGTTTCTTTTCCATTCATGCACAGTGCCTGCTCCTCGTAATCAGCCACGCCACGTTGACGTTGTCTTTTGTTGTCAGTCGGTTCGTGTGGTCGTGCCATTAAGTGTATTCGCATGAATGTCGGTGTGTGTGTGTGTGTGTGTCATCTTGTCACGTGTGTGTGTGTCATCTTGTCATGCGCGCGCGCGCGTGTGTGTGTGTGTGTGTGTGTGTGTGTGTGCTTCACCTGTATTGCAGACAATGAAGCATGCTCGAGATGAGCCAATCCACAAATGAGACAGTTTGGCTTGTGTGTGTGTGTGTGTGTGTGTGTGTGTGTGTGTGTNGTGTGTGTGTGTGTGTTTTCTTTACCTGTATTGCAGACAGCGAAGCATGCTAGAGATGAGCCAATCCACCAATGAGACAGTTTTGCTTGTGTGTGTGTGTGTGTGTGTGTGTGTGTGTGTGCGTGTGTGTGGGTGTGGGTGTGTGTGTATGTGTACTGCAGATGAAGAATGCGATGCATCAGCTACAGCAGCTTCAACAGTACTAGCCGCAGCAGCAGCAGCTTCGACAGCTGCATGTGTTGCAGCACATGCACCTGTTGCAGTTGCTGCTTCTGCGGCTTGTGCCACTGAAGCTGCTTTAGGTAGTGCATCATCTACATAACAAGATGCAACGACCATAGGCAGGTAAGTATCTTTGTCGCTCCCCCTTCCCCTTCGCCCTTCTTCCTCCTCCTGTCCTACCTACTCCACCATAGCCGAGGTGTAGCGCCGGCCGGTCCTTCCCAGCAGCTCCGTTGGCTCCGGCACTGCTTCACCAACCGCTCCAGCAGCTTGAAGTTTGTGTGTGTGTGTGTGTGCGCGTGTGTGTGTGTGTGTGTGTGTGTGTGTGTGTGTGTACGCGTGTGTGTGTGTGCGGAGCAGCAGTAGCTGCAGGATATGTAACTGCAGACTGCTGCTGGTGTTGGCAGTGCCGCAGCAGGTACAACACCCGGAGTAGCGGCATCGCTTTGCTGCACGGGGTGCTGCACCCCCTGCATCAAAGCGGGTGAAGAGGGAGTCGGGGAGGGGTGGCCTCTCGCACCTAACAGAACCCCCTATGCCCCCAAACCCTTATATATATATATATATATATATATATGTATATATATATATATATATGAGTTGGTGAAACTCCGACGAAACAGTTTGTCACAGCCCCTCGTTTGTTGTCCTCTTCTCTCTCTCTGCCTACAGTTTTACCGGACAGTTCTGTTTGTGACGATATATATATATATATATATAAACGTTCGCGTTCGCCGGCCGAACGCAAACGGAATGCTACGCAGATGGAAACTGATGATATTCACATGAAGATGACATAATGGTGCTTTTTTTTTTTTTTTTTTTTTGTAGAAGAAAAATCATTGAGTAGGTGCTCCGGGTAGCTAATACGAGCAGACTACCGTAGCATACTCAGGGAGGCTCCATCTATTTGTGGGGAGCAGCACCTGCTGGAAAACGGGTCCAGCGTCCCTCACAATTTGAAAAGGTAACATCAGACAATTGAAACAAGGACTGTGCTCAGTGGAACCTCCACCTACAAGGAGTATGCTGAAACCCCCCACCCTGCTGTAGTTGAAATTGAACTCTTCACCCGAGAGAGGGCGCCAGATGATATCTTTCTTATCTAGCCTATTTAGCAGTAAACCTGGGAAGCAGGAATGGGTGTGGGGACTACATGTCAGTGAACCTTTGAACCAGAACATTCTGAGGAAATAGGAGCAGGCACGGGAATTCTTGAGTCGAAGCATCATTCAAGTGAATCTCTCCCATACCAGGACGTTGGAACCAGAGCGTTCTGAGGGAATGGGAAGAGACTTGGGAATTCATGAGCTGGGCGCAGGGGAATTGATGGGTCCACCAGGGTCCAATCGTTAAATTTCAACTTATAGTTTCTTTTGAGAACTTGATCCTCCTCCGTCTCAGTACCCTCCCATTCCACCCTCCCTATTTTTCCCCCTTCCCCCCCCTCCAGCCAGTTGCTGCTGAATTGTTGGAATAATTGAGAAATTTCTTTTTTTGATGAGTTGAACTGAATTTTTTCTTTAAGGTTGGTCCATAAATCCTGTATGTGAGTTTGAATTTGTTGTTTGATGCTGTCAGTGAATATGGGGCTGTCAAGTCTAGCGTCCTCCCATTCATATGTGTTCCTTCTCTGCCAAATGGCCCAAAGTACTGCTCTACTTCCTAGGATGAAAAAGTTCTGAGTGAAACTATCCTCTGGTTCCGGAGACCAGTGTTCCAGCATAATTGCTTTCCACCCCCACGACCATTCATATGTAGTTTCTAGCTGTTCTCGTATTCTACCCCACCATCGCCATAGCCAGATGGAGCCAGGACACTCGAGAAAAATGTGCTCGATTGTTTCCGGTATTTTCCTGCTTGGATACGCAGATTTACAGAGTTTGCACCAGGGGTCTGTAATACCTCTTTTTTCCAGGGAGGATCTATCTGCCAACCAATCTCTTGTGGGAAGACACCGGTGTTCTATCTGCCATTGAAGGGAGGCTACCTTTGAAGGTTTGATCTTGGAGTCCTTGAACCATTGGATGTTTCTGAGATCTTCCTCGTTAATATTCAATTGTTTCGTCCATCTCTCCACCACCCTATCTTTGAGATTGAGGTTGGGTCTTAGCATCCGGTAAGTCGACTTGACCGATAGCATGTGTAAGTGTCTGCTGAAATTCCTGTTGCGCTTGTTTTTGGTTCCCCATGACCAGTATACCGGATCAAAAGGCAGATCTGAGATGGGTGTGGATGGCCTGAAGGGGAGATATGATTGTGCGTCGAGTGAGAGGACTCTGATTGTGAAGATATTCCCCACTGGAATCCAATAAGGGGCTAAGTCATTGTTGAGGGTTAATACATTGTCCTCCCTTAGTGCCCCTGGGGCGATTAATGCCTCATTGTCAGGGGATGTAAGGATGACGCTACCTACCTTTCGAGGTTCTTCTATCGTAGCAACCCAATCACTTTCCTGTAGTTTCTTCCCTCTCTTGAGCACTCTGAACCACTCAATGGGAATGCGTTCTACAATCTTGTCTATATTATTTTGTAAGTGGTGGCAGTGTTTTAGTTTCTTTTGGAGGAGGTGAGGGGAGAACCAGTCCCGAGACTCGTCATCCCAAATATCCTTGATCCTAATTACCCCCCTCTTAATCCAACTCTTCCATGGGCTATCATTACAGTGTAGTGTGGTACCTTGGTGGTCCCTGATCCAGGTGTTATTGAATAGTGGTTGTTGGTTAATTTCCTCCCAACGTTGTGGGAAATGTTTATCCGGTGTAGGTAGTCTTCTCCAGGTCTTGAGAATGGTAGGCCAGAAAGAGTCATTGATGATATCCTTCCTTGCTGCCTCCCTGTTAGACGTTTGGCCTGGGTCTACCTCTCTGGCCGTGCCTCTGGGGATCGATCAATCCCTGTTTTCTAACCACATAGCAGGGTCTATGGGTTGCTCTGTCTAGGGGGCCAGTCTTTTCAGTTGTTCCCAAGCCAGGCCGTTCCACGGAGTTTGCGGATTTAGTAGTAATCTCTTCACCCATTGGATTGAGAGTGTCATGGCTTGGAGAGTTGGGTCAATAATTCCTAGCCCTCCCCTAGACTTTGGTTGGATGACTGAGGACCAGGTCACTCTACTAATTACATTGTTATACTCATGGTTCCCTCTCCACAAGAAGGCCCTGAGCTGTTGATGAAGAGACTTTGTCCATTTACAATCGAGGGCCCATATTGCAGATTTATACCAAATGGAGGCTAAGATAACATTATTGATTACTAAAGATCTGCCTATTATCGATGTGTGCTTATTCTTCCAGAGTTCCATTTTGGTCTGGGCACTTTGTAAAATGATTTCATCGTTAATTTTTTGTTTTCCTTCGGCAGATAAGGAGATGTCTAGCACTCTTATTGGTTTGTCGAGGGGAAACCATTTGATTTTAGGTTGTTCTGGGGGCCTAACCCCCTGATGATGAATCCACCAACCTAGGGTCTTTTCTCCCCAGTTAACCTTCATGTCTGCTATTTTGTAAAATTTATTCATTAAATCCTTAATCGCCTCCATATTCTCATGTGTTGCGTCCACCATCAAAGAGAGATCATCTGCAAAAAGTGAGCATATGGGAATAGCCTCTTCTGGAATGGACGTCACTTGAATTTTCCTAATGTCCTTGTTTTGTTTCAGGTTGGCCGCTAAAGCCTCCATGATAATTATGAAGAGGAAAGGTGTCAGAGGGTCTCCCTGCCTGACCGATCTCTGAAGATCTATTGAAGGTGTCATACTACCATTAACCATGACTCTAGTGGTGGCGTTGCAGTGCATGATATTGACCCACCTTCTGAAGCACGGACCGAAGTTCATTTTCTCCAAACATTTATCGAGAAAAAACCAATCAACATGATCATAGGTTTTTTCAAAGTCTATGAAAACAAATGTTGCATTATGTTTGGATTAGCGTGCAATTTTAATAAGTTCATTTATTAGAAGGATATTGTTTTGTATGTTGCGACCCGAGATGAATCCATTTTGTGATGGGTGGATGATGTCCGCTATCACTTTGAGCATTCTGTCAACTAGAGCTTTGGCGACCAATTTGTACACTACAGTGAGAAGTGTGATGGGGCGGTAATTTCGAATATTTAATTTGTCCCCTTTTTTGTAAAGGAGCGTGAGAATCCCTTGGCTAACTATTTCTCCCATATCCCATGCTTCCCATACCGCTTGGTAGAAGTCCATTAGATCTTGTGAGAATCTTCCCCACATAGATTCCCAGAATTCCTTTGGGAGGTCATCAATTTCTGGCATCTTATCTTCTTCCATGAGGATTAGTGGCTTATCAAGTATTTCCCTTTGTGCTTCCGTGATTGATTTGTTGAAGGGGGTTAGGAATTCCTTGATTTGTCTTTCTTTTTCTGGGAGGGGAATCAAATAATTTTTTGAGGTGAAGAGGTCCTTGTAAAAATCTCTTGCTAACTTCATACTAGTCACTGTTGAGATGGCTAATGGTTCATCATTGTTGAAGGGATTGATTAAGGCCTCTATAGTAGTTCTTCCGGTTCTAGCCCTGACCATGGCAAAAAAACGAGCATCCATGTCACCTTACATCTGGTGTTTCTTCAGTTTGCCTCGAATTCTGACTCCCTGCCATCTGTACACCATATACTCAAGCAATTGATCCTCAAGTGACTGAATCTCTTTTGATGCTGCTTCAAGGGCGTCTTGATCCTGTGGGTTTGAATCTATTCTTTGTAAGTCTTGAATTTTTCTTTGAATTTCTATCTCCTTTTGATGTCTTAGTTTCGCCAAGGTTTTTGAGTACTCATTGCATTTACGTCCTAGGAAAACTAGACCGTTGTTGAACCATGTGATGTCGTTGTCAATGTGGGCCCTATGTTTCCTCCAAAATTCCCAAACATCCTTTAGGTGTTGTAGGAAGTCTTGGTCTTTAAGATGAGAAGTGTTTAGTTTATAGAACCCCTTGCATTGATCCGGTTTCTTACGGAAGGAGTAAACCGCCATGCACATTGCATGATCAAGGTCAGGGAATGGACTTCTGGGGAGGACACTAGCAAATTGGAGACCTCCCTGAAGGTCTTCCGAGGCAAGGATGAGATCTATTCTAGATTTACTAGGTCTATTTGAAAGTTTTTTGGTAAAGCAGAAAAATGACTTAGTTGTTGGATTTAATCTTCTGAAAGAGTCAAACAAATTAAAGGAATTACACAATTTG